CATGCAAAGAAAGAAGGCATAACTTTATTGTTGCCGCCGCCGCCATGTTGTGAAGACGAAACTTCGTTGCAAAAGTGAAACTACTTTGTTTGGCCTTCCGAAAGAGGACACGACTAGAAATCAGTGGTTAAGTTGTATTTACAACACTGTTCCAGAACAGTTCAACCCAAATATTCAGATGTGTGCAGCACAGTTTATGGAGGACTGTTTCCTGATCCTGGTAGAGTAGACTACAATGTCGGCTGTTCTGACTCACAGACTGTAAGTACGTTTTAATATTTAAAGAATTTGCCACTGACGATTCAAACGTGAGTTTTGAGCAGTGTAGAGTATTGTTTGTAATTTCTCCGATCACAAATGCAGACATGGTTTTATGTTTACGCGGCGCAACGCAACTCGTAAAAAGACAGTATATGTCACAAAAGCCTCGTTTATAATGGGTTTTAATGTTTTTGTCTCGTCGCTCCGGCCGGACATTTCCATCACACGTAAGGGGCAGGGTTGCCAGGTTTTCACAAGAAAGCCCGCCCAATCGCTACTCAAAAAATGAGAAGACTGCCTTCTAGATTATCAAGATATTTTGTATTTTGACAATGACGTTTTCATGACAACTCAAAATATTAACAAAACCTATAACAGTATGTCCGTGTTACTGAAATAGCATTGCCCTGACTGTTCTTGGTCTTTTGCGACGGTTCACCAATAAATTTGCAAAGCATCAGAGCAGCAGAATTTGCATGCATGTTTATTTAAAGGGGAAGTGCATAATTAAAACAGAATTGCAGATTTTAAGTGGCACAACTGGGTGGGACATGGAAATGGTAAACTGTATCAGCACTGACAGGGTTTTTATGGCTAAAAATCACAGTTCAGTTATATTTTTAAATAAAGCTTTGTCTTAAAGAAATAGTTCACCTACAGAATGGAAGTTTTGTCTCTCTTCCTCCATGCACAGTGCATTAGAAATGGAGCTGCTCAGACGAGAGGCGTGCGTTTGTCATGCTCTCTTTCTGCCGCAGACATCTTGGCTTGTTGTCCTTGGATGTATCTTCCTTTCACCTTGTTTATGATATAAACAGATGGTTAGACATTAATATCTCAGACAGGAAGCCCCTGGAGTAACCTGGTGACATGGCACTGTGTCTGAACCTTGCACTCTGGCTTTGTTTGCAATGGAAAAACTGACTTATTTTTAAGTATGTACTTTATACTTCCTACTGTGTTTTAAACATATGTATGTGACTCACAGAACACAATATGCAACAATAAGTGGTAACATTTTATAATAAGGGTACATGAATAACCATGTACTAATGGCTACATTAATACTTAATTCATCGTATACTAATGATTACTGAAGTTGCTAACTAATCATAAACTAATAAATCCTTAACTACAACCAGAGTCAAAAGGATTCACACATGAATAATGGCAGCCTTAACTACATGTTAGTACCTGTTTGATAGTTAATGCATTAATTAACATTTATGGGTAAACTAAATCAGCCTCTTTAAGAACAAATAAGAAATACTATGACTTTTAAATGAATTTAAATAATTTAAAGGGTTAGTTCACCCAAAAATGAAAATTAGCCTGTGTTTTACTCACCCTCGAGGCATCCTATGTGTATATGACTTTCTTCTTTCAGACGAATACATTTGGAATTATATAAAAAATGGTCCTGGCTCTTCTAAGCTCTATCATCTCACCAATCAAAACAGCTCTAAACAAATATGTGGGTGATTGTGATGTGAGAGACAACAGGAGAAGGACTTTCATTGGAGGAAGCAATATTATGGATTATGGACTCCAGAAACAACCGTTTGAATTTAAGAAATGCCTTAATGATGGATTTGTTTCTTACAAACACACAACTTTTCACTTCACAACATGTTAATTGAGGTCCTGGAGTGGTGTGGATTACTTATGGATTATTGTGATTTTTTTATCACAATAACAGTTTAGTTTGGACTCTCATTCTGACGGCACCCTTTCACTGCAGAGGATCCATTGGTGAGCAAATGATGGAATGCTACATTTCTCCAAATCTGATGAAGACACAAATTAATCTACATCTTGAAAGGGCTAAGAGTGAGAACATTTAACATAAACAGCAATTTTTCATTTTTGGGTGAACTATTGCTTTAAAGATTACGTCAAGCTGAGCACATTGCATTGCACATTGTGTTTTCTCTTGTGTACTGCACTTTTTGCATAGTAGGTCATCCAGATATTCTGTGCATATAAATCGATATTGTGCACAGCATACATACTATATACTGCAGGAATAGTAAGATTAGGTGCTGTTCTGAACACAGTCTTCTTTCTCTCACATATGCCCATGCATTCTCCTTCACACTCGTATACACTTAGTTTTTTTCTCTCACTTTCTCTCGTACCATCTGTGTCTGACACACACTTACTCCACACACATATTGTGTGCTTTTTCTGTCGAAGTCACATGGTTCGTGTTGAGTAAATTGTTAGCAGGTGACACACATGCAAGCCCACACACAGATACCAATGTTTGCTGCACTGCTATTCTAGTTCATACTAGTCTATTGGAATATTTCACACTTGATTTCTTTGAAGATTAACTTATTTATATTGTGTTTTTGTGCTGGAAATTGGTATTTGGTATCTAATGCAATCAGCTGATAGGGATGTGCATGTGTGAGATTGATGTAAAGGGAAAAGCTCTGCTTTTCTCAGCATCTGCACACTGATATCAGCATAATGCTCTTAATGCCTTGACCTGAGAGATGTAATTCAGCATTGCGTGCCTGAAGCGGCTCAGTGTCAGGACGTTCCAGCGCTGAGCTGATTTCCATGTCTGCGCAGCCTCGCTTTGTCCGGTAATCTGAGGCCAGATGCACCAGCCCTGCATTACTTCACCTAGGTGTAGCATGCATAGTTTTATTTATTTATTTTTTAGAGCACATTTTTGAATAATAGTCATACAAATATCATGAAATAATGGAATTTTGGAAATGATGCACACTTGGAACATTTTTGTTACTTGGAGAATTTTTTTTTTTTACTGAAATAAAATAAAAACCTAGACTTACTTTATTTTAGCTAGTTGCCTGGGCAATATTTCTCCTTTTCATTTAGGTTAACTTGAAGCACTAAAATAATTAAAAATAATAAAAAATAATAAAAACTATATAGATATATATACTAGACTTTTACTCATATTAAAGTGAAAACAGAAAATGTACCAAAAAATCAAATTTATCAAAATATTAACTATAATAGTATATCAATGATACTAAAAAAAACACTGCAGCTAATCAGCTAATTTTTTATATGGCAAAAATTTCAGATTTATGAAGAAATTAATAACCAATTTATATTTGTCTAAAAAACGCACATATACTTTAGATTAGAATTTATTTATCCAAATATTATATATTTAATATTAATATATACTTATATATTAATATATTTATGTGTTATATATATTTGGTTGGTACGACAAATCTCTTCTGCTCACCCAGGCTGCATTTATTTGATAAAAAATACAGTAAAATATTGTGAAATATTAATACAATTTAAAATAACTTTTCTGTTTGAATATATTATAAAATGTCATTTATTGCTGTGATCAAAGCTGAATTTTCAGCATCATTACTCCAGTCTTCAGTGTCACATGATCCTTCAGAAATCATTCTAATATACTGATTTGCTGCTCAAGAAACATTTCTGATTAATATCAGTGTTGAAAACAGTTGTTCTGCTTCATATTTTTGTGAAAACCGTGGAATATTTATATTTGATGAATTGAAAGTTCATAAGAGCAGCATTTATATGAAATAGATTTTTTTGTAACAAAGTAAATGTCTTTACTGTCACTTTTGAATAGTTGAATGCATCGCTGCAATTTTGCATATTTTAGTCAGGTAGTACATTTTAATCCATGCTATTTTGCTTCCAGAGTTTGCGTATGGCTGCTGTAACCCGAGCTTGATGAGCAGGGCTAGCACTGGTATGTGGCTCTGGTATTAGGTTTCGGTCGGGATACGTCTGTTTAAAACCACGCCAGCGTTTTAGTTCTCCCTCTGGAGCAAGCCAAGCACATCGTGAATTTATTTGCCATTCAAAAACAGGCCCATAAAACACCCGCTATTAGCTTCAGCATTCGTCCTTCAGTGTTTAGTTATGGACACTGTCATTCCTAATAGCTAATATTTTTTTAAACATCGTGTTTGACGACTCTCTAGGATCTCCAGCGCCTGTTTGCTCTTGCGTCCGTCCCCCGTGATGGTTCGACAGCTGAGCGCCAGCCCTCTGCCATTGTTCCCTAATGGCGCTATGCTGATTTTTTTCTGTCAGCATATTACTTTAGTAATCCAATCCCGCCTCTCCCTTGTCTCCTCTTTGTTCTGCTCATTTTCCCTCCATCTCTTAGGGGTGGAGATTGAACGCAGTAGAATGTTAATGAATATTAATGTAGCGGCCCTTTTGTCCCCGGAGAGAGTCTCTCTCTCTCGCTCTGCCTGTTTCACTTTCCGTTTCTGCTGATGGAAGGGAAAATCAGTCGAGGTTTCACTGCTTGGACGGGGGGTGGCCGAGAGCTGCATGCAAATGAGCCGCTCATCAATATTAATGCTCACCCTTTATTAGCTGGAGAGTCCGGAGAGGGAGACATGCTTTCACTTTAACCTCTTTTATGAATTTAATTCACCTGTACCATGTAAGTATTTAGATATTGTCTTCATTCGCAGTTCTACTAAAACCTAGTGAGCTGCCTACCAAGACAGCATTTTAAGGCATTGACACAAAGCCTGTTCTAAAAGGTAGGCAGCCTTGAAGGTATCATTTGCAGAGATTGCAAGCCCATAATGCATTAGACAAAATTAGTGAAAAAGTTTCCCAAATGTAAAATACTGTTAATATATGATATAATATTTCATATTTTGTGTGTGTGTGTGTATATGTAATATTTACTGGTCTATAATGAATTAGACAAAATTAGCGAAAGTTTCAGAAAAATTAAATACTGTTATTATATTATATCATATTTAATATTTTGTGTTTATATTTTAATATTTTTTGTGTATATTAGACAAAACATATCTATGTGTGTGTGTGTGTGTACATTTAGGTCTGTATTTTGCAGATATATAATAAAAAATATTACATATAGTAATGTAATAATATTAAATATTTAATTGTATTAAATATATTATATTATATATTATATTAGGTCTATATTAAATACAAAAACAAATATTAAGTATTTATGTATATGATTAATATTTGTGCTTATTATGCTGATATGCTGATTATATTAGTATACTTAATTCCCCAATATATGAAGCATATATATGTTTAAAAATTAAGTATGTATATATGTATATAAATTTAGTCTAATTAACAAATGCCTAGATTGCCTATTCAGGACATTTTATTGGTTGCTTGGATTCCATTTGTCCCATGGTGCACAGGGTTCTGATTGGCTGTGATTATATTATGTAATTATACTATGTATTTGCTGGGACATGTAAGAAGGCATCCATGCATGCAGCTCACTAGGTTTTGAAACAGGCCGATTGTTGACCTGCAGGTGTGGATGGTCAGTGATTTCTGTTGTCAGATCTCCAGGTGTTCTTTCTTCCGTTAACTGATAAAGTGTGTGACATAATAACTGTGACAAAACTCTGGCAGTGTGTGAAGGAACTGAACGATAAGATCTGAGGTGTTTTTACAGGTGTGTAACCTACCTGTGCTAAAAAAATAATTGCACAATTACACAAATGTTCCAGGTTCAGTATGAGTTAAGCTCATTGTGATGCTATCGATCAGTGACTTTTTCACCAGAAAAATGGCAAAAAGTTCACGTTTTACGTTTCGGTTTTGTTTCTTTTTCTCTCCCGACAGCAACAAGAGCAGGACCCCACTAACCTGTACATATCTAACCTGCCACTGACCATGGATGAACAGGAGTTAGAGGCCATGCTGAAGCCCTTCGGACAGGTCGTCTCCACACGCGTCCTGCGGGACACCAACGGGGCCAGCCGAGGGGTCGGATTTGCGAGGTGAGTGTCTAGTATCTGACCCCGAATCACCAGATTAGCTCCTGTTGTCACACTATCATTCTTTGTGAATTCCCCTCAATGTACCAACCGTGGTTCAAGACTGCAGCGTCCGTCAGGGAATCAGGCGTCCTGGAAAGCCCCTGGCGTTGTGCCCGCCGCAACACAAACACTTCAGACCCTCCCATGATTCTTAGTGCCAGTCAGCTCCTTGAAAACATAGCTGTGTATCTGACATATCAGCACGGCAAAGCCAGGAAACTGAACTCTCTGAACTTCTCTTTGTAAATGTATGACAAGTAAAAACTTGATTGTACTAACCTAAGTGTTATTCTCACGCACTTGAGTGAAAAAACGCTGAACTGAAAGAAATCTGAACTGTATGTGTTTGGAGATGTACGTTTTCAAATGTCAATGACATAAATATAAAAAGCGACAAGAGATTTTCATGATAAACTGATAAATTAATGATACATTTTCAAATAACAGAATAAATAATGAAAACTGTTTTTAATGATAAACAGAGCACATTGGCAAAACTTGTCGTTATGATTTTCATAGCTCTGCATATCTAAACTTTCATGAAAATGTCAATTTCTACTCTCTTTTGATGACTTGATTGTATTAACCTTAGGGTTATTCCTGCAAATTTGAGTGAAAAAACCCTTAAATAAAACGAAACTAGTTTTTTTTTTAAACGTGTCTTTATTGAGAAAACATGTAAGACAACAGAAAAATATTTTTTAACTAGTTAATTTAATCAGATAAATATGTTTCGAGAAGTACATTTTCAAATTACAATGATAGAAATATAAACAATGAAAACTGCTTTTAATGATAAACACAGAATGCATTGGCAAAACTTATGATTTTCATAGCTCTGCAATCTAAACATTCACTAAAATGTTTGATTACTTGACTGTACTAACCCGAGGGTTATTCCTGTATAATCAGATGAATATGTTTCGAGAAGTCATTTTTCAAATAACAACAATATAAACATAAATAATGAAAATTGTTTTTAATAATAAACACAAAGTATATTGGCAAAGTATGTTGCCTAGCTCTGCATATCTAACCATTTATGATAATTTCAGTTTTGCACCCCCTTTTTGATGATATTCAGTTCAAATCTCTGTATTTATTCTGAAATTGATTACAATGTATTTGTTTGCAGTTCAATTATCCAAACATGTTTTCCTCTCTAAATGAACTGAAGCAAGATTTATACGCACGGATATAACATAATATGAAAATGAACAGCAATGTTTAACTACATATATTTTTGCTAAACATTTTAATGCATAAAAATGCCATGCAGAGACATTTTTGAGTGCACGCATTAATCACTGAATCAGAGTTTTGAACCGATTCACTAAAATGAACAGGTAGAAGTGATTCACTGAAATGAATCAAACTTACCAACTCTAACTGAAGTTTAAATGAGAGATAAATAAAATGTCTTTGTCAGGAAAAGAAAAATAAGGATCATGAAACTATATGACCAGCCTTAATAAAGTGCATTAAAATGAGTGCAGAGTTTCTCAACACTGACAGCTGGTGCAGGTGATGGGAATGATGTTTTATACTCAAACCGAGAGTGAAATGCGTAAACCTTTAAACCGGTAATCTGTTTCTCTAGGATGGAGTCTACGGAGAAATGTGAAGCTGTCATCTCTCACTTCAATGGGAAATTTCTCAAAACACCAGCTGGAGTTATGGGTAAGTGTGCGTCTGCCTGCTTCACGTCTACTTTAATGCGATAGTTCATGAAAAAAATGAAAATACTCGGCTCGCCCTCATGTTGTCTCCAAACCTGTATGACTTTCTTTCTTCCATAAAAGGAGAGGATGCAGAGACATTTTTGAGTGCGCGCATTAATCACTGAATCAGAGTTTTGAACCGATTCACTAAAATGAACAGGTAGAAAGTGATTCACTGAAATGAATCAAACTTACCAACTCTAACTGAAGTTTAAATGAGAGATAAATAAAATGTCTTTGTCAGGAAAAGAAAAATAAGGATCATGAAACTATATGACCAGCCTTAATAAAGTGCATTAAAATGAGTGCAGAGTTTCTCAACACTGACAGCTGGTGCAGGTGATGGGAATGATGTTTTATACTCAAACCGAGAGTGAAATGCGTAAACCTTTAAACCGGTAATCTGTTTCTCTAGGATGGAGTCTACGGAGAAATGTGAAGCTGTCATCTCTCACTTCAATGGGAAATTTCTCAAAACACCAGCTGGAGTTATGGGTAAGTGTGCGTCTGCCTGCTTCACGTCTACTTTAATGCGATAGTTCATGAAAAAAATGAAAATACTCGGCTCGCCCTCATGTTGTCTCCAAACCTGTATGACTTTCTTTCTTCCATAAAAGGAGAGGGTACATTTCTGAAGGATATCCTTGCCACTTTTCTCCATGCAATAGGAGTAGCAGTAGTTTTGGGTGAACTACTCCTTTAATATGTGTTTTGTTTGAGCATAAAGACACAACGCTGCTGTGTGCGAGCACATTCATTCATTCTCTGGTAATGATTCCCCTCGGATGGGGTCTAAATGGAAACAGGCTTTCGGGCATGTGGCGCAACCGTTCAGCCATACCAAACGGCTTTCGCACGAATGTAGATTTAGACTCGCTGCACGAAATGCTGAAATTACAGAGCTGGGAGGAGCTACATGGGCATGATGCAGCTTATTGATTAGTGGAGGCTCGTTTGGGACTCAAGTGAAAGCAATGTGTGCTAATTTTCTCTTACTGACCTGGCGTGGCCGCTCTAAGCATTTTAATTGGATTATTAGACTGAAATAGTCTCCACTGACCGTGTCAGAAAGGAAGGAAGGGGATTATACGAAGACAGCGTCCAAATTAGATGCCTGTTCTCCAAATCATTGCGGATGGAGCCAGATAGCCTCAGAGGGTCTTGAGATGATGGCATATAACTGGTGGAGATTTTGCTGGGCCGTTTATGCTGTGGTAGAAAGAGTCACACACTTACATTTACATGTGCAACAAAGAAACATAGAATAAAGTTGAAAATATATAACAGAACAAGTTTGCTCATCTAGCAGCAAAGCAACATTGCAATTTGCAGCATTAAAGTCAATGTGTGCATCCCATTTCACCCCCATAATTAGATGTGTTTTTTCATGCAACATTGATATTCAGGAAAAATACTGGGTTTTATGCGACAGAAATTAGGGATGCTCCAATACTGAAACTGTGGCTGATGCTGTAATTATTTAGATGTTATGGCCGAAAGCCAGTAATTAGCAGATATTGCAACTCTATCTTGAAAAAGACACAGAAAACATAACTTAATAAAACTAACTTAAAATTATGAAAAACCATTTCCGCCACATAAGAAAAAAGTACTTTAATAAGTCATAATTATGACATAAAAAGTTACAATAATGAAATAAAAAGACTGTCAAAAATAATTCTGTCAAAAAGTCCAAATGTTATGGCTGATAACCAATAAACGGAAGATATTGTAAAAATATATCTGGATTTGTTAAAAAGACAACTTCATATAAACATAACTTAATAAAACATTATAAAAATTATTATTATTTGGACGTTTCCACCACATATTAAAAAAAAATAATAATTATACAAAAAAGCTGAAATTAGGGCCTACTTTGGACATCAAAATTTGAAATGAGATAGTCATAATTATGAGATAAAAAGTCAAAATTAGGACAGTAAATGTTATGGCTGAAAACCTATAAATGGGAGATATTGCAAGTCTTAATTTGTTTTAAAAAAAAACGTAATAAAACATAATAAAAATAACGAATATAATTTTGAAGTTTCTACCGCACAAGAAAAAAAATCCTAATTTTCAGAATTCATAATTAGGACATAAAAAGTAAAAATTATGAGATAAAATGTACAAATTATGACAGTCATAATTATGAGCATTATGACATTCTTAGTTATTGTTCAGAGATAAAAAGTCAAAATTGCCAAAACGTCATAATTATGACAAAAAGTCAAAATGTAGACATTTTCTCATAATTAGAAATTATCTCCTAATTATGGCTTTTTAATCTCATAACTATGATTTACCAAAGTATGATTTTTTTCTTATGGGTCGGAATAACTAACTAAAGCACATTCCTTTTAAGAGCACGACATATTACAATAAAATATTCAAAAGATTTAGCTCTTAAAGGGTTAAATCTTTGTCGTTATCACTTTAAGTTATTGCTAGATAATGAATCTTAAATCTTGAATACACAGAAGCAAATTAAATCTATCAATGGCCATATTCACCTGACATGGTGCTGATATATTGTGCATTGATCAGATTGTGAAAAGCGGGCTTTATATACAGTACCAGAATTGAGGGAGAGGGGGAGGGGCTAAAAATAAGAGGCATTTGTGATGTCATCCAAAAGGAAAGTCGTTTTAGAGGTTGCTAAAATGTCTCGCATCACGTCGTGCTCTGTATTTTCCCTCCATGTTTGATGCGCTAAATAACATAAAGCAGTTCTGCTGGGGTTTAACAAAATCTCAAGCCATTTCTACTGTCACATTATGATGGTTTTGGTCGGAGCGCTCAGCTCTGCTGTCTATGAGCGAGCAGTCAACATCACGCTGAGAGTTCATGTGTGTGTCTGCAGCCCCATCAGAACCCTTGCTGTGCAAGTTTGCGGACGGAGGCCAGAAGAAGCGTCAGAGTCTAAATAAATATGTGCAGAACGGACGAGCCTGGGCCAGAGACGGAGAGACCAGACTTGTGAGTACTGCTCTTTTGCTCTCTCCACCATGTTGTGTGTCCGTATCGCTTTTTGCGGCCATGTATCCCCTGCCACAGCTTTGTTAGTGAACACATGGACAGCAGGGCTGTGTGTGTGTGTGTGTGTGTGGGGGTGTGTGTGTTTATACAAGCTACACCAGTACAGTAATATATCACGTGAACCACAGAAGTGATACTGAGACGTGTGTGTGTGCGTGTGTGTGTGTGTGCGTGTGTGTGTGTGTGCGTGTGTGTGTGTGAACCCGAGGGTTATTCCTGTATAATCAGATGAATATGTTTCGAGAAGTCATTTTTCAAATAACAACAATATAAACATAAATAATGAAAATTGTTTTTAATAATAAACACAAAGTATATTGGCAAAGTATGTTGCCTAGCTCTGCATATCTAACCATTTATGATAATTTCAGTTTTGCACCCCCTTTTTGATGATATTCAGTTCAAATCTCTGTATTTATTCTGAAATTGATTACAATGTATTTGTTTGCAGTTCAATTATCCAAACATGTTTTCCTCTCTAAATGAACTGAAGCAAGATTTATACGCACGGATATAACATAATATGAAAATGAACAGCAATGTTTAACTACATATATTTTTGCTAAACATTTTAATGCATAAAAATGCCATGCAGAGACATTTTTGAGTGCGCGCATTAATCACTGAATCAGAGTTTTGAACCGATTCACTAAAATGAACAGGTAGAAAGTGATTCACTGAAATGAATCAAACTTACCAACTCTAACTGAAGTTTAAATGAGAGATAAATAAAATGTCTTTGTCAGGAAAAGAAAAATAAGGATCATGAAACTATATGACCAGCCTTAATAAAGTGCATTAAAATGAGTGCAGAGTTTCTCAACACTGACAGCTGGTGCAGGTGATGGGAATGATGTTTTATACTCAAACCGAGAGTGAAATGCGTAAACCTTTAAACCGGTAATCTGTTTCTCTAGGATGGAGTCTACGGAGAAATGTGAAGCTGTCATCTCTCACTTCAATGGGAAATTTCTCAAAACACCAGCTGGAGTTATGGGTAAGTGTGCGTCTGCCTGCTTCACGTCTACTTTAATGCGATAGTTCATGAAAAAAATGAAAATACTCGGCTCGCCCTCATGTTGTCTCCAAACCTGTATGACTTTCTTTCTTCCATAAAAGGAGAGGGTACATTTCTGAAGGATATCCTTGCCACTTTTCTCCATGCAATAGGAGTAGCAGTAGTTTTGGGTGAACTACTCCTTTAATATGTGTTTTGTTTGAGCATAAAGACACAACGCTGCTGTGTGCGAGCACATTCATTCATTCTCTGGTAATGATTCCCCTCGGATGGGGTCTAAATGGAAACAGGCTTTCGGGCATGTGGCGCAACCGTTCAGCCATACCAAACGGCTTTCGCACGAATGTAGATTTAGACTCGCTGCACGAAATGCTGAAATTACAGAGCTGGGAGGAGCTACATGATGCAGCTTATTGATTAGTGGAAGCTCATTTGGGGCTCAAGTGAAAGCAATGTGTGCTAATTTTCTCTTACTGACCTGGCGTGGCCGCTCTAAGCATTTTAATTGGATTATTAGACTGAAATAGTCTCCACTGACCGTGTCAGAAAGGAAGGAAGGGGATTATACGAAGACAGCGTCCAAATTAGATGCCTGTTCTCCAAATCATTGCGGATGGAGCCAGATAGCCTCAGAGGGTCTTGAGATGATGGCATATAACTGGTGGAGATTTTGCTGGGCCGTTTATGCTGTGGTAGAAAGAGTCACACACTTACATTTACATGTGCAACAAAGAAACATAGAATAAAGTTGAAAATATATAACAGAACAAGTTTGCTCATCTAGCAGCAAAGCAACATTGCAATTTGCAGCATTAAAGTCAATGTGTGCATCCCATTTCACCCCCATAATTAGATGTGTTTTTTCATGCAACATTGATATTCAGGAAAAATACTGGGTTTTATGCGACAGAAATTAGGGATGCTCCAATACTGAAACTGTGGCTGATGCTGTAATTATTTAGATGTTATGGCCGAAAGCCAGTAATTAGCAGATATTGCAACTCTATCTTGAAAAAGACACAGAAAACATAACTTAATAAAACTAACTTAAAATTATGAAAAACCATTTCTGCCACATAAGAAAAAAGTACTTTAATAAGTCATAATTATGACACAAAAAGTTACGATAATGAAATAAAAAGACTGTCAAAAATAATTCTGTCAAAAAGTCCAAATGTTATGGCTGATAACCAATAAACGGAAGATATTGTAAAAATATATCTGGATTTGTTAAAAAGACAACTTAATATAAACATAACTTAATAAAACATTATAAAAATTATTATTATTTGGACGTTTCCACCACATATTAAAAAAAAATAATAATTATACAAAAAAGCTGAAATTAGGGCCTACTTTGGACATCAAAATTTGAAATGAGATAGTCATAATTACGAGATAAAAAGTCAAAATTAGGACAGTAAATGTTATGGCTGAAAACCTATAAATGGGAGATATTGCAAGTCTTAATTTGTTTTAAAAAAAACGTAATAAAACATAATAAAAATAACGAATATAATTTTGAAGTTTCTACCGCACAAGAAAAAAAATCCTAATTTTCAGAATTCATAATTAGGACATAAAAAGTTAAAATTATGAGATAAAATGTACAAATTATGACAGTCATAATTATGAGAATTATGACATTCTTAGTTATTGTTCAGAGATAAAAAGTCAAAATTGCCAAAACGTCATAATTATGACAAAAAGTCAAAATGTAGACATTTTCTCATAATTAGAAATGATCTCCTAATTATGGCTTTTTAATCTCATAATTATGATTTACCAAAGTATGATTTTTTTCTTATGGGTCGGAATAACTAACTAAAGCACATTCCTTTTAAGAGCACGACATATTACAATAAAATATTCAAAAGATTTAGCTCTTAAAGGGTTAAATCTTTGTCGTTATCACTTTAAGTTATTGCTAGATAATGAATCTTAAATCTTGAATACACAGAAGCAAATTAAATCTATCAATGGCCATATTCACCTGACATGGTGCTGATATATTGTGCATTGATCAGATTGTGAAAAGCGGGCTTTATATACAGTACCAGAATTGAGGGAGAGGGGGAGGGGCTAAAAATAAGAGGCATTTGTGATGTCATCCAAAAGGAAAGTCGTTTTAGAGGTTGCTAAAATGTCTCGCATCACGTCGTGCTCTGTATTTTCCCTCCATGTTTGATGCGCTAAATAACATAAAGCAGTTCTGCTGGGGTTTAACAAAATCTCAAGCCATTTCTACTGTCACATTATGATGGTTTTGGTCGGAGCGCTCAGCTCTGCTGTCTATGAGCGAGCAGTCAACATCACGCTGAGAGTTCATGTGTGTGTCTGCAGCCCCATCAGAACCCTTGCTGTGCAAGTTTGCGGACGGAGGCCAGAAGAAGCGTCAGAGTCTAAATAAATATGTGCAGAACGGACGAGCCTGGGCCAGAGACGGAGAGACCAGACTTGTGAGTACTGCTCTTTTGCTCTCTCCACCATGTTGTGTGTCCGTATCGCTTTTTGCGGCCATGTATCACCTGCCACAGCTTTGTTAGTGAACACATGGACAGCAGGGCTGTGTGTGTGTGTGTGTGTGTGTGGGTGTGTGTGTTTATACAAGCTACACCAGTACAGTAATATATCACGTGAACCACAGAAGTGATACTGAGACGTGTGTGTGTGCGTGTGTGTGTGTGTGCGTGTGCAACATCACGCTGAGAGTTCATGTGTGTGTCTGCAGCCCCATCAGAACCCTTGCTGTGCAAGTTTGCGGACGGAGGCCAGAAGAAGCGTCAGAGTCTAAATAAATATGTGCAGAACGGACGAGCCTGGGCCAGAGACGGAGAGACCAGACTTGTGAGTACTGCTCTTTTGCTCTCTCCACCATGTTGTGTGTCCGTATCGCTTTTTGCGGCCATGTATCACCTGCCACAGCTTTGTTAGTGAACACATGGACAGCAGGGCTGTGTGTGTGTGTGTGTGTGTGTAAACTGCTTAGGCACCTGTCATTTCCCATCATGACACTCGTGCTGTTCCAAAACCTAGGGAACTGAAATGTACCCTTATAAGTGACTGATTTGTGACGGGAGACTCGACTCACAAGTAATTTCAGAAGATTTTAGTAGCGGTGTGATACTAGTCTAAAAATCCATAGCACACACAGATATTTCACTACTTTTTGAGATTGAATTAATTGTATTTATAATCAGCATTTCTTTTGCTATGTCTGACATCTTGAAGTGATTTTAACAGTTTTAATAAAATAACCTATTATTTTATTTTATTTTGTTATTGTTGTTTATTAGGGATGCACCGATACCGATACTGGTATCGGTATCGGTCCGATACTGAGCTCCTGTACTCGTACTCGTTAAAATGCCTCGATACCAAACGCCGATACCACACAGCATGTGATAAGCGCCATATTCAGACAAAGAAACACCCACAACAGAACAACAGACAGCAGAAAGCAGTTAAGGATGTCTACTACGAAGTATATGTATGCAATGAATATAACGTTAAACATTCAGTATTAACGCCTGTATAGCTGGTGTGTGCGAGCTGATAAACAAAGCGCGCTGAGTGGATTGAGCGCGCGGCGGCGCAGATGCGCGAGCTTGTCGAGTGAATACAAGTATCCGTATCAGGCGAGTACTGGAAAAAGTGGTATCGGTGCATCCCTATTGTTTATTATTTTATTCTTATTTCATTTTATTTTATTTTATTTTGAACAGTACTCTTCAGAACAGAATTAAATCATATTTATAATCAACATTTCTTTTGCTTTGTCTGCCATCTTGAAGTGATTTGATCACATTGCGTTCTGTTTATAAAGAAATGTGTCTTTTGTTTCTGGACACCAGTTTTTATGTACTACATTTTTTCTATTATTTTATTTATTTATTATTTCATTTTTATTATTCTGTTATTTATGAAGGATTACACTCTTGTTTATATTATTTTATTTTGATTGGTACATTTAATTTTATTTTGATCGGTAAATTTCAGGATTCAATTATTCATATTTATAATCAACAGCATTCCGAGATTTGTTTTTAATTAGTCATTAACTAGTCCCAAAGAGCAGTGATCAAACTAAACTAAACTAAAAATGCAATTATATATATTCAATTAATTATTGAATTATTCATATTTATAATTAACATTTCTTTTGCTTTATCTGCTATTCAATTGATTTTGTCACAATGCATTCTGGGATTGCAATAGATAAAAACAAAGAAATAACAGATATGATGCCTTAAAATACAGCCGATATAGTAATCTAAGTTGGTTTTGGAGCAGAGCAAGTCACGTTCCTGTGGTCAGTGTTCACAGCGTCACATGATCATTCATAAAGAAAATCAGAAGTCAAATGTATCACATCACATCACTTAATTGAGACGATACTGTGTTTTTTCTAATGAAAATTACTTTGAACATTTTCATTATTTCTGCTTATTATGTGCAAGCCACGCAGAGAGAAGGTCGTAGACGGCATGTAATTACAGCGCGATGGGTTTTCTGTCACGCCAGATAATTTCATTAAACCTTATGCAGTTTCACCGCGCATGTCGCTGAATTTGACTGGACAGACATGTCGGATTCTGTCCACGCCGAGAATAAATATTAAAAGCTTTTCCACAAGTTGAAATGGCTGTGACAACATTAAACATTTGGCTACAAGCTGGAGGGGAGAGCAGTAGTGTAATTTGTTTTCAGGTTTATGTTATTTGACAAGTACGGTAGCCACAAAAAGACACCAGCGCCAAACTTAATGACATATTTTGTTACCTAATGCAATGAAATTATCAAAGCAAGTCAAACAAAAAAAAAAGCTTCACTAACTTTTAAACTAACGTCATCTGCTCAGTCTCTTTTAAATGATGTATGAAGTCATTTCTTCTCAGGTTCACGTGATTCACAAGCTAAAAGTGGCACAACACTTTTGACTTCATTTTCAACACTTCAAAAGCAGCTATGAGATGAATAGTGTATAATTATGTTTTATTTCTCTCTCTTTCTCTCATAGACTGGCATGACACTCACATACGACCCCACCACAGCTGCTATGCAAAATGGGTACGAGACAACAAGAGCTGAGAAAGAGCCATTGTTATTGTAGTATTATTTATACACTGTTGTAGTATTTATTAGTATTTTGAATTAGCTTTTATTTTGATATTTTTTATTTTCATTTTCATTTTAGTTCATGTTTTAGTACTTACTATTTACTATTATTTATTTTTGTTATTTCTATTTAGCTTTTATATATCTAATTAAATGCTTCTGCATTTCAAATTTTTTAGGTTTACATTTTTTTTGTTTGATTATTTTAATTCAGCTTTATTTTACATTTAATTTTAGTAGTTTATTTAAATTTTAAATGTAGTTTAATTTTCAGTAATTTGATAAATTTTTTTAATTTTTATTTGGGAACATCCAGTCATTTAATTGTATATTTCCAATTTTATTTTATTTTTTATTTTTCATTTTATGTATTTGTTTGTTTTTAGTTGCCAAAGCAACAGTTCTAATTTTTATTTAAGTTTTTTAACATTTTAAATATTTAGTTTCATTATTTTCAACTCTATTTTTTTCTTTGAAGTTATTTTTATTTTATCTTATCTTATCTTATTTTATTTTATTTTATTTTTAGATGCCAAATCAACATTTCTAACTTTCATTTAAGGTTTTTTAAGTTTTAAATTTTTTGTTTCTTTATTTTCAACTTTATTTTTTCTTAAAGGGTATATTTTATTTAATTTTTTTAAATGTATTTCAGTTAGTTGCCAAGGCAACACATTTTTCTAAGATTTACATTTTTCATTTGATTATTTTCAGCTTTTTTTTTCAATTAAAAAGAACAATTTTAGTTTTAATAGTTGTAGTTAGCAATAACAACCCTAGAAAGAGATTTATCTGCAGATTTATACTGCAGATACTTGAAAATGTCCAGTTCACACACTAGTTCAAGTACTTAATACTTATTAATGCTTTTCAGTATGGAATGAATTATGTTTATATAATTATATAACAAGATATCTTAGAAGGCAGCATAATCGTACTCAAGGTTATCATGCTATATTTACAACCTGTCATAAATGATTGCTTAAACATACCAATTTGATCTTTCTACAGATTCTATCCGACCGCCTACAGTATTACAAACAGAATGATCACACAGACCCCCATTTCTCCATACATCTCCCCTGTGTCCACATACCAGGTAACATAATATCAAACTCTACTGCTTACAGACCGATGGAGGTCTCAGAGATGGATGCATCAGAACTGTCTTAGGGGACACTGATATTCTGTATTTTATTGTTCAGGTACAGAATCCATCCTGGGTCACCCATCAGCCCTACATCTTGCAGCATCCGGTGAGTCTCAGCACTGGCCGTCTCTGATTGTCCTGAGCAGTGTTTGTTTGTTTGTGTGGGAGAAATACACTTGAACTAGCTCATGACTGCTCATAGACTGAGAGTGTGGGCGACGGGCACAGAGCGAGTCCAAACAGACATACTAAAGCAGAAACCACAGCAATTTATGGATTCATTCTGAGTAATCAGAATTAATCTTATGCCAAATAAAATAGTTAATAAGCTGGTAGGTATTAGTATTAAACAGTATTAAAGAATGTGCAAAGGTATGCATGCAGTCAGAATAAAGAGTCTGAAGTTTACATTTATAAAGAAATGTTTCTTTTTATTTCTACATGCCAGTATTAATATAATAACTGGCTATACTAATAATTATAATATTAATTATTTTATTTATTTATTTAGTTTAATTATTTTTGTATTTTTGTCATTTCTTATATTTTATTTTTTGTTTTATTAATTTTATTTTAGTAGCAATAAAATAACTGTATATACTAATAACTGTAATATGTTTTATTTTAATTATTTCAATTTTATTTTATTATTTTATTTCAATTTTATTATTTTATATATATATATATATGTATTTTTTTTTTTATTGTGTTTTATTTTTTTGTCTTATTCATAATTTGAAATTTATTTATTTTATATGATAACAAAACTCATGGATGTGTCTTTAACTATAGGCTGTCGTATGAACAACCAGTGGGAAATTAGGCAAATGTACATTTCTGTAACCTTAACAAATGTGCATTTGTAACATTACTGTGGAAAAAGTTGGACTATAATATTATTTTATTTTATTATTGTCATCTGTATTTTGTAGTTAATATCAAAATCATAGGGAAAAGCTTTTGTTACTTGAAATGCAATGAAATTATGAACTGAAAGATATTTAAAAACTTTAATTTTTGTTTAGTTTATCTTCAAGTAATAAAATAATTAAAACTAAATAAATTAAAACAAATAAATTAGAAATATAGAATTTTTTTTAAAAACTATATAGACATAAATTTGTGTATATTTATATATATATATATATATACACACACACACACACACACACACACACACACACACATATAAAATGACAAAAATACATAACAAAATTACTAAAACTTTAACCAAAAAGTAAAGTGAAAACAGAAAATACAAAAATCTAATCAAATTTAAAATATTAACAGAAACTATTATAGTTTGTATCAATGATATTAAAATAACATTGTTACATTCAGTAGTTTCATTGTTTGAGAAGCTGCTTTTAGAAGCAACATTGCCTATAGCAAAATGAAACATTTGACATTTTATGATTGATAAGTGACACGTGTTCCCTACTTCACACACACACACACACACACACACACACACACACACATATAAAATGACAAAAATACATAACAAAATTACTAAAACTTTAACCAAAAAGTAAAGTGAAAACAGAAAATACAAAAATCTAATCAAATTTAAAATATTAACAGAAACTATTATAGTTTGTATCAATGATATTAAAATAACATTGTTACATTCAGTAGTTTCATTGTTTGAGAAGCTGCTTTTAGAAGCAACATTGCCTATAGCAAAATGAAACATTTGACATTTTATGATTGATAAGTGACACGTGTTCCCTACTTCTGAAGGGCAGCAGCGGCCGTCACTGGTGTGAGTGTGTGTTTGCATATATGCATTAACACTGAATCATACCCAGATGCTGGATTACAGTGTGTGTGTGTGTGATAAGTGAAGCTTCATGAATGACTGTCATACAGGGAGAGTCTAAATGAGACATGTGTGTTTGTTTTTGAGAGGGTGTGTGTAACGTATATCAGTAATGTGTGCTATAATGACTGGTGTGAGTCAGGACGTATAGAGCTGAGTGTTGTTAATCAGAAATGAGGAAACTGTGGCATTTAAAGGCCAGTGATGGCACTGATGGCACTGAGTCTGACTCACAGCGTAAGAAACCAAGACTCATCACGCACGTCCCAGAGAGACCTAGGGTGCTCCAATCGCCTGCCAAGTGGGCTTTATAGGGTATTGGGCCATGATAAAAGAGATCATAGGGCACGTGAACTCTCAAATAAGTCACATTTACTTCATATTAAACATCACAAGCATAATTTATCCCAAATTTCAAAGAATACCATGGTATTACTAGTATTAGTTTGGTACTTTTTTTGGTGAATACAGCAAATTAGTTTATTATTGAAATAATCAAAAATATTCACAAAAATATACATCCAATCATTAAGTTGCTTATTTCCAACTTTTTTGTAAGAACATTATTTATTTGATTGTATTTTTTATACAGTCATTTGACAAACAATTTATTAAAATTTTTAAGCTTTATATTTATTTATAGTTTTAGAGAACTATAGCGACACTGAAAAGATAATGTACGTCAGCATACTGCAAATGCTTGAAAGTACATAATACACACATTGAGTAAAATAGTCAAGTATTATTTATACTAATTAATTATTGTATTTTATTTTGTTCAGTTAGTTGGCAAACAGTATTTTTCATTTTTACGTTTTTCATCAATTTTTTATTTTCTATTTTGTTTTATATTATATTCATACTACACATGTTGAGTAAAATAGTCAAGTATTATTTATTTATTCATGTTTATTTTAGCCAAAGGAACATATTAAGTCTGTTTTTTTTATCTAATAGTTATCATTTTTACTTTTTTTCAGTTAATCACAACAAATTGTGATAGTTTGAGTTAACAATAACAACACTGGAAAATGCATTCACATTACTGCAAATGCTTGAAAATACATAGTACACACATATATCGAGTAAAATAATCATACTTATTTTTAGTTTTATTTATTTCAAACTGGCCAGTTCTAAAAGGAAATGTATGTATGTGCCTTTCTTGCTTTTTCTTCCTAAACTAATAAATGTACTGTAACTCTCTCATTGTGTGGTAGGGAGCAGTGATATCGCCCTCTATAGATCACTCCATGTCTCTGCAACCCGCGTCCATGTTGGGTCCTCTCACTCAGCAGATGAATCACCTCTCTCTGGGCAGCGCAGGAACGGTGAGTACAATCAACACTTGAGTGCTTACATATGTGTTGTTTTGTTTCTTCAAGATCGGCAAAATCATTTCCAGCTGTTAAAGTCTGTGTCTGTGAATGCAGACAGAATGCAACAGCGTTTGCATACTGCAGTATACACTGCATACTGCCTACTATTTTTTTAAATTGCAAAACAGTAGGCACTATATATCAAATTCAGGGCTCTGAACCGGTTCAAGGAACGAAAAGGAAAACCGGAAACTAACGAAATTTTGACAGGAATAGAACCAGAAACTAAATCAAATTTTATAGTTCCGAACAGAATCGAAAATTTGAAATGGCCATTAACCGGTTAATAACGTTATTTTATCGTTCCATTTAATATTTGAAATTTTCTGTCAACCAATCACGAATTCAAGTAGTACGGCCTATGCGCTCAGCTGTGAACTCATCATAGGTAAGTTAGAGTTTATCTGAGGATAGTGTAAGATGGATTCAACAGATCACACGCACCTGCAGCGCTTCTGGCAACGGAGAAAACAGAATAAAACTATAGGCTTACATAAAAGGAATAGCTTATATTGCCCTATACACGAAATACATTTCACTTAAATCATTGACAGATTAACAAAACGAAATAAGAAAATGTGTTGAGTTTCGGTTCATTGTGACGTGATCCAACATTCACAGAAAGGAAAATGAGATGGCAGAAAGAAGTTTTCTTTATTTTGCAAAAGCTTTACGGTTTGATTTATTTTTCAAATATTGACGGTTTTGAATGATGATCTGTATAACCAACCAGTGTTGATATGACGATATCGCGCCGGCGCATCACGCGCACACAGACACAACATATTTTGCAACATTGCAGCCTGTTATTATTATTATTATTATAGGCAAAAAAAAGTTTAAAAATAACATAATTAACCGGTATTTATTCTAGGCAAACCAGTTTCGGAACGATAATAATACAGAGGAACGCAGGAACAGAAACGTTAAAATATCGATTCTGCTCGGCGTGAACCGATTGAAATTTCTTTTTTTTTTTTCGTTTTCAAGTCCTGAATACAAAACATTTGTATGGTAAATTGCTGTCACATGACCTCCTCACATTGCATATGAAATAAAAAGTTATTTTGCATTTTAATTAAACTTTCCTAATTTCCTAACATTTGGCAACCCAGTAAAATAATGAATAGAAATATAGAAGTATTGAAATTCAGTTGTGATATTATTTGTCATTAAACCTGAAAAGGTCAAGTGCATTGCGTCAAGTGAGTGCATTGCATTATGAGATAATTTTTTATGCAGTGTGCATTATTGTATACTGCACATTTTGGCAATGCATTAGGTCTGAATATGCATGCATACAAATTTGCATGCTGTGCACAGTGTGCATACTATATACTGCAGAACTAGTATGCTATTTATAGCAAGCTGCATGACTAAACTTGAAAGCCACCTACTGGTGAATAATGAAGTTGCAATTAAAACATAAAATGGAAAAACATATTTCTTTTTTTTTTTTTCGTTTTCAAGTCCTGAATACAAAACATTTGTATGGTAAATTGCTGTCACATGACCTCCTCACATTGCATATGAAATAAAAAGTTATTTTGCATTTTAATTAAACTTTCCTAATTTCCTAACATTTGGCAACCCAAATAATGAATCAAAATAGAATTATTAAAATATAAATGCAATATTACTTTTGTCATTACATTTTAAAAGGTCAAATGCATTGAGTCAAGTGAGTGCTTTGCATTGTGAGACTTTTTCTGTGCCGTGTATGCAGGGATAGTTTTTATTTGCATTTTTAATTAAACTTTCCTAATTTCCTAACATTTGGCAACCCAGTAAAATAATGAATAGAAATATAGAAGTATTGAAATTCAGTTGTGATATTATTTGTCATTAAACCTGAAAAGGTCAAGTGCATTGCGTCAAGTGAGTGCATTGCATTATGAGATAATTTTTTATGTAGTGTGCATTATTGTATACTGCACATTTTGGCAATGCATTAGGTCTGAATATGCATGCATACAAATTTGCATGCTGTGCACAGTGTGCATACTATATACTGCAGAACTAGTATGCTATTTATAGCAAGCTGCATGACTAAACTTGAAAGCCACCTACTGGTGAATAATGAAGTTGCAATTAAAACATAAAATGGAAAAACATTTTCTGTGCATACTGAAAAATGTGAAGTTTTATGTTGGAAATTTTATGTTGTCATATTTTTGTGTGTGTTACAAAAGACAGATTATTCTGCATATTCTGGACAAAGGCTGCAAAAATGTATATATTTAAACACATGCAGGCAACGCATGACTCATGCACAACTCAGCAGAAATGCACTAAAGCAAGCAAATATAAAACTGATGATGGAATATGAGCACAAAACACAGCGTGTGCAGATTTGTAGCAGCGTATGTTGGTGTGTTCATGTGAATCTCTCTCGTCTCTCTCTGTGTAGTTTATGCCAGCCAATCCAGCTCTCCAGGGGCCGTATATCCCTCCATACACTCACATGCAGACCACCGCCGTCTCAGTAGAGGTGGGTTCATGACGAAAAACACTTTCCCAGACTCAGATTTAACCTCGTCCTGTACTGAAGAACTTCCTGAATTCACAATCACCATAAATGGAGAAAAGTTCAGGAACAGACTGGGCTTGTGCAACTGTGCTGAAATGTTCTGGAGAGAATCGCACAAAACCTGTGTAGAACATCTCCAGGGAACTGGACTATAAATCACTAAACTTCACTCTAAATCAAACAAAAGAAATAAAATAGAATACTTTGGAAGAAAATAAAGCGTGTTTTTAGGAACATTGTTTTTTGTTTTGTTTTTACACTGTGAGATTATTTTCATGCACTTTCTCCCTAAATCTTCATAATAATATAACAAGAATAGTAATAATAATAATATTTAAATTGAAGCACAGTATTTATACATTATGGTAGTAGTTTATGCATTGCCTAATATATAATATATTAAATATTAAAATAATCAATTTAATTTACAGTATAATAAATTCATAATAATAATAATACATTTACAGTATTTTACAGTAATACAGAAAATACTCAAATTGAGTCTAGTATTATATTATTTTTATGACTGATTACATTGCTTTACACTGTGAGATTATTTTCATGACACTTATGCTAATTCTCCCTAAATCATCATTACTGTGATGTATAATAATAATAACAATAACAGTAAATTATTATTTAAATTGAACTATTAAAGTATTTATACTTTGTAGTATTGTGGGTGTTGCCCTTTAATTTCTGTTAATTTCTGAAATAAAATATATTTAAAAATATATTATAATGATAAAAATTAAATTACTGTATTATAATAATTTATTTTTACAGTAAACCAGATTATTTTTATGACAATTGAGCACTTTCTCCCCAAATCCTTATTCATCTGAGGCATTATAATAATAATTATTTAAATTGAAGTATTGCAAGTAAATTATTATATTACAATTATTTATTTTTACAGTATGTTTTAAAGTAATACAGAAAAAAAAACTGAATGTGAAATCTAATGTCATCTTATTTTAGGATGAAATATGAATATGTTTTGTGACATTCATCCCTAATAGCGCATGTAATCATTGAAAGATGTGAAGAAAACTACTTTCAGTCATTGATATTCTGACTTCTATTACATTAGCACTGCATATCTCTGTTTTGATTTGAACTTTCATGATTTGTACTTGTTGTGTTGGTTTGGTGCATAAATGCGAGAAAATAAACCACATGTTTTGTTGTAGGAGAACAGTCCACAACCTCCGGTGGAATCGTCCAGTGATCATTCACCTTATACCTATCAGCAGGCCAAGTGATGAAGAGGTAAATAAATCACACCTGTCCACACGTATACATCCCGTACCTGCACATGTGTGTCATTCTACCTTAAGCTCTTGGGACCCAGGGAGACAAAAAAGTGTTGTTTTAAGTAGGGTTGGGCGATGTCTACAAAATTGGCATGGGACGATGTCTACAGTGAAACATCGCGATGGACGATGACATCGGCAGGGGCGAGCGGGGGGAGGGTTGTGGGGGAAGAGTTAGGGGGTGTGCCCTAAGCGTGAATCCTTATAAGGGAAAACACGATTCCTAACACCATGTCTACACCGGACGCGAGTGGCGCGGCGTGACAAAATACTATAGAACCACTGAACTATAATAGAGATTTATTATATATAGATCAGTCTATAGAACTCATTATAATCAGTAATGCTGTCTACACTGGATGCGGCGTGACACGACAATTCCCCGACAGAAAACTGCTGCTGCGTTCTATTTATTACATGCTGACACAAATTTCAAATGATTTTCAACGGTCGCTTTGTCGCGTCCAGTGTAGACAGACTTTAGCACGACAGCTGCGCGACATGACAAGTTGCCTGTTACATCCTACAGTAGGCTACATAAAATTTCACTTACCACATAAACAGAGTAAGGAGAGATGACTGAGGACGATAGCGAATGATTTGCAGATACCACTGAAAAACATCTAATCTTGTAAAACGTGTGACAAGTACTGCCGCTCCATAGTATAAACAGAGTACGTGCGATCGCGAATCTAGAAAGTGAAAGTGAAACTAAATGCGATCGTGCATTCAAAAGCACGATGCCAGGTATAATAGCGGCTCCCTGATTCCGAAATATATATGTAGTATAATCGTGATGTCTATCAGTCATCGGTGATGGACGATGGCATCGTCTATCGGCCCAACCCTAGTTTTAAGTTTATCCTGATTTAAAATCTATTGAGATTTTCCTAAGATTAATATTTACAGGAAACCATTTTAACATTAATAAAAATTGAAATTGAGAAGGACTAGTGTTATTATAGTTAACTAAAAATAAAACCATTAAAAGCCAAATTGTTGCTTGAAATAAAACAAATGTTAACTAAAATAAAATATACCAAATTTTTTACATTTCAGCTGTCTGCTGTTTTTACAAATCTCAATGATACTGATCAGGACTAAATAATAAACTTGCTGTTCCTCTTATCTTGAATTTTTGGAAATTGACAGCCATTTTTTTAAAACTGAAGAGAAGACAAACCCGAATCTATCTGGTATGTGTGAAAAGCTCAGGATGTTTAAAATGCACCAGGACTGTATGTATATTCTCAGAGACATTCACCAAACAGGTGTCCTCTACAGAAGATCAAAATGCCTTTCTGGGTTCGAGGAGGATGAAACCTTGTGCATGATTCTTATCTAAATGTTTAGAGGTCATTTCAAGTGTTGCTGCATTATTGGTTTACATCTGTTTGAAATGATTGGTCTGGAAGTGTAAACAGGTGCAACAGATGCGATATTGGTTTGAGTGCTTCTGTGTCACCTGCAGTCCTGCTTTTCTGATCCTGGTTCGTGTGTTATGTCTGAATTAAAGGAATAGTTCACAAAAAAAGACAATTTTGTCATAATTTACTCATTCCAGACTAGTGTTATTTTCTCTTTTCAGAGATTTTTTTTTCCGTACAGTGATAATGGGTTCTGATTCATACTGTCGAGATCCAAAAAGCATCATAAAAATAGTCAATAGAATTTGTTCATTCTGAGCTTTTAAATGAGTCACATGACATGGAGGAATCGGTGATCTCAGACCTGCTGTGATTCATTCGAAAGCGTCGTTTTTTAATTGAACATAATTGAAAACATTTATCAAGGCTGGTAGAGAGAAGAAAATTATTAGGGTGGAATGACAAGAGAGTGAGTAAATGATGAAAACCTGGAAAAAAAAATTGTGATTTCCGTACCTGGAAAATGTTGTTGAATATACATAGTAATGCTCAGATCCAGTGTTATTTTAATACTATCACTGAGATTCTGTTATAGTCTTTGTTGTTAATATTTTGAAATAGTTTCATTTTTTTTATTTTAGGCATGCATGTTAATTTTAATTAAAGTTTTAGTGATTGTGCTGGGTATTTTTGCCATTTTTATAGTTTTTGTTGTTTTTAAATATGTCTCTATAGTTTCTATTAATTTTTAGTTCAGCCTTCGCTTTAGTTATTTTAGTACATCAAGTTAAACTTAATGAAATTGAGAAAATGCCTTTTATTCAGTATAAGATTCTTCTGCTCACAAAGGCTGCATTTGTTTGATGAAAAATACTATAAAAACATTAAATATTCAGTGAAATATTCTGACAATTTAAAAGTACTGTTTTAATTTGTGAATATATTGTAAAATGTAATTTATTTCTGTGATGCGCAGCTGTATTTTCAGCATCATTCCTCCAGTCTTCAGTGTCACATGATCTTCAGAAATCATTCTAATATGCTGATTTGCTGCTCAACAAACATTTCTGATTATTATCAATGTTGGAAACAGTTGTGCCGCTTCATATTTTTGTGGAAACCAGGATAGATTTTATTTTTCAAGATTCTTTGATGAATAGAAAGTTCAAAAGAACAGCATTTATTTAAAATACAAATCTTTTTTAACATTATATATTTTTTATATATGCTTCCTTGCTGAATAAATGTTCAAATTTGGACACGCAATTGATTTAAAGCTTACTTGTTTCTATCGTAGGGTTGTCGGGGTTCGAGAGAGAAGGGGACGACTGCTAAATCAATAACAGCTTCCTTCCCAATATTTTTGTGGAAACCAGGATAGATTTTATTTTTCAAGATTCTTTGATGAATAGAAAGTTCAAAAGAACAGCATTTATTTAAAATACAAATCTTTTTTAACATTATATATTTTTTATATATGCTTCCTTGCTGAATAAATGTTCAAATTTGGACACGCAATTGATTTAAAGCTTACTTGTTTCTATCGTAGGGTTGTCGGGGTTCGAGAGAGAAGGGGACGACTGCTAAATCAATAACAGCTTCCTTCGAAGGACCGGCTCTACCGATGAATCGACATTTTGCACAGGTTCTACGATGAGATCCTCGGTTTTATAATAAAACTACTTCAACTATTTTGGTATAAGTTCCATTAGGTGCAAATCAAGGATTCATTTCATCAGAGGATGCTGACAAAGAAAACACAAATGAAATGGGAAGAAAAAGTTTTATTTTACTAAAGAAACAACGCTTATTTTTTACCAAGGATCGTCACATAGATGCAAGAACTTCATCATGGAGATTCTTCTTATTTTTATTATTTCGGATTTGTTTTCTCTCTCTCTCTCTCTCTCTCTCTCTCTCTCTCTCTCTCTTTTTTTTTTTACTGAACGTTCGTTTTTAGATTTTTAGAGATTT